GCGGAATCGCTGGTAGTGTCAAACTGCTGACCTTGAACTTGGCAGCCTGACTCTTAACCACTACGCTACCAATCTTGGTAATACAAAGTATCAAAAAGGATAGGAAATGAAATGAAGTAAAATAGAGTTCAATTAGTCCGGTTTTAAGATATCATGCTAAGTAAAGGGTCTGCAAAAAAGAGGAAGCCCCTCAACAAGATGGAATGACACTGTGGCTGCAACAATGGGATCAAACACAGGGACAATTGTGAGAATGGCACAGGACTGAGCCGTGGTTTGTTCTCTTCTACAGAGGGTTGCTCTGAGTTAGAACTGACTTGATAGTACCTAATAAAGAGTCTAAGGAAAGGCTGCATAAACACACACACATTAGGAAGAATAACCAAATTTGTGATATTGTTAATAAGCACCGTAGAGTCGGTTCCGACCCATCGTGGGCTGTATAGGGTTTCTGAGGAGCAGCAGGTGAGCTTGAACCACGGACATTGCAGTTCAAATGACTTTGCAACCCAGTGCATTAACCCACAGTGCAACACCAGAACTGCAAATTTTGTGATAAGAAATGGGAAATGTATATAGTTTCTAAAATAAACTAGAAATCTATAACAATTATTTCTAAAGTGAAATGGAAATCTGGAATTCTCTCCTTCACTGTTCTACAAATGTGGTCACAAAAGCAACTGTGCTTTTCTTAGTAAAGTGAACACTCTAGACTTTACTAACTCACCTGTAAAATGTAGGAAAGTAGATGTGATAGTAGTAGGGTGGACTAAAGTATTTTATCATATGGAAAGTCTTTCCAAACCCAGTATTCTGTGGTTGTACAGGGTTGTTTTATTATATTTCTTTAATTGAAAAGATCCATCTGCCTGAAAGTAAAGTGCCACTTGATATTTCAGCAAGTCATAATTCGCAGAAACGGAAGAGCAAATGTCAAAGTGTACTTAATGGTACATGACATTTAAAAGGTTTAATTTTTCACTATCTCCCTACTAGTGGAGGGCCAAAAGATCTGAGAACAAATTAATTAATTAATTAAAAGTGTTCCCACATTTCAAAGTGAGATGCTAAACTTCTTGTGCAGGTCCACTTTGCCAAGACAGTAGCTCAAAACTGATCTTGTAGCCTTTAGGCCAATCTCTACTTTAAAGGACATACAAATTAAGGATGCAGGAACCAAAAGAGAGTATAGTGTTGGAAGGAGTTATAGGTGTGCATAGACCAATCAGAGAGTTTATTACAAAGACAGAGTGGATCAGTGTTTTCATTATACCTGAAAAAGGCTACTTGCAAGAAACTATGGGTTGTTGTTGTTAAGTGCCGCTGAGTCATTTTGACCCATGGCGATCCTATATAGGGTTTCTGAGGAGCAACTGGTGAACTTGAACCTCTGACCTTCGGTTCAAACACACTTTGCAATCCAGTGCACTAGTCCCCAGCACCACACCAGGACTCCAATTTGTCATTATACATGAAAAAGTCTACAGGCAAGAAACTATGAGTTGAGCTACCCAATTGGACAAGGAGAGACAGGGAAACAGTGGGGAAGTTAATGTGCAAAGACATAAGACTTTCACACGCAGTTTAGCCAGGAGCTGTTCAAGAGGGAGGCCAGCTAGTAAGAGGCCTCCCAATGATGTAGTAGAGAAACATTGTGGAATATATTACCACTGTGGCAGGGCAGGGTAGGGCATCAGGAGATTACATATTGATGTCAAATAATGCATCAGTCTGAAATGTACAGTACAGAAGTCCCTGTGGGGGACTGCCAAGGAACCTTTAATTCTATCCCCAGCAAAAGTGTAAGCTAAGCCTAGAGAACAGCAATGCTAGCCATATCCTTGTTCCATATCCTTCCATCAATTATCACTGGACAGGAAACTGTGGCTAAGGAGATCAAAGGAAGAAGAAGAAGAGCAAGACTGAATCACAGAACAAATTTTAAAATCTACCAACTCCCCCTGGAACTTAGCCTAGATATGTCACAGTCATCTCATAGTGTCTAGAACAGTAAGGAGAACAAAATTATCATTCAAAGGCAGAGGATTTCAGTCCCTCTGACTGGATTTGAAAGGTCATTGAAGAGTGAGAATAAAGCTGGTACATGCTTGCTCTCTATGGAGTTCCTTCTGTTCATTCCAAAAGATTACATTAGCATTGAGTTTAAGTATAATGTGAATTGTATAGAAATATTTTCTTATTCATTCTAAGTAAGTCTTATTCCTTACTTGGAAAAAATAGTAACTCAAAAATATGAAAATGTTTTTACTGTGTTTTTTTTTTAAAATATAGGTTAAAATTTCTTTGCAAGAATTCCACATTATAATGGTATATACATGTTGGAGGAAGCTTAGGGGCATAGTGGATTATGCGTTGGGCTGTTAGCCAGAAAGTTGGTGATTGGAATCCATCTGCTGCTCCATGAGAGAAAGATGAGGTTTTCTGCTACTACAGAGAATGACTGTCTCAGAAATCCTACACAGGGTTGCTATGAGTCGGAACTATCTTGATGATATACAACTAACTACACATACATATTGTCGGGAGACTTATTTTTAAAAAACATTTAAAATCTGTTTAGGATTAATGTAGATTATAAGCGTTTGGGTTAGCCACAATAATAAAAACAAAAGAATTATGCCTGGCTTTAGGAAAAAATGTAAAAATGAGATATAGGAGAGTGATGCCTAACATCCAACATCAAGTTCTTTGACTTTTTGTGACATAAATTCACAAAAAAGTAACATTTTTTTGTGACTCCAATTCACGTTAGCAAACCAAACCAAGCCAAATTCACTTCCATTAAGTCATTTTTGACTCATAAGGACTTTGTAGAGTTTCCAAGGCTGTAAATATTTACATTTACATTTACTACTGCAGAACAGCTGATGGGTTTGAACTGTGAATCTGGTGGTTAACAGTCCAGTGATTATTCTACTGTACCATGGGGACTCTTTCCACCTTAACAAAGCCAGGAGTAAAATCTAACACACTTATAATTTAGGAAAGGGACTAATTTATTTAGTTGACAATGGAATAGAAATCAGACTTGAAAGCACTGAGTAGAAATAAAAAATTAAATGGCATGGCATTGTAGGATAAGTATTCTACCATAAGATCGGTTTGAGCCACAAGATCAGTGGTTCAAACTCACCAGCCATTCCTTGGAAACCTTATACAGGGCACTTAACAACAACAAGGAATAATAACCAGATATGAACTTACAACCTAAGCATTGACCTCTTGCACACACACACACACACACACACACACATCCCAAAAACTTTTTTAGAATTTATGAGATAATCTGTATATTCCACAAAGCACAGAAGGGAATTTGGATCAATCTTATTTTGATCATAGAGACTAGAAAAGACTCCAATTGACATCTAAATAACATTTTAAATTATTTGTTCCTACATCGAGTCTTTGTTTTTCTGATCAAGTAGGTAATGTCCCATTGGGTCTAAACATGATTCTTCCTTAGAAAGTAAAGGAGTTTTCCTTAAGCTTTTCTCTTGAATTTCACTTTCCATTAAGTTAGTATCTCGTTCAGGAAGGGAAATGTAGTTTTTGATTTGCCAATGCTTTGCCTGGAAAAATTTAAAAAAGAGAGAGAGCCATTAATTTTTATCAATTACTTATTGTCTACAAATTGAAATCATAAGAAGACAAAAAATGAATAAGCTGTGTTTCCTGTCTGACCTACTTACTACCTTTCAGGGAAATGAGACCTAATCCTCTTAATTTTTATAAATGTAGAAGGCTGCAAGAGTCATTGAAAGACTAAAAAATTCTCTGAAGGGATAATAATGTATTACAAAAAGAATGTACCATTTCCCTTTAAAATCCTGAATTTCAAGAAGTATATTTACTAAAAAGAAAAACAAAACTCTTATAAAAAAATATTGTGGTTTATTTTTCCTATAACTGCTTTATTTGCATCTCATCTAAGATTTAAAAGAAATATTCAACTTCAAAAGCCAAACCAATTTTGCTGTATTATTATTTTTACATATCTAGGCTATAAGTCTTTATATGCACCCATCCATATTGATAACCTATTTTATATTTTAAATACAGAACCCATTTCTTTGTCTTTTATCATTCTACACTGGTCACATAGGAACACACCAGAGAATGCTTTGTTGTTGCTGTGTTTTGGAGTCCATTACAATTCATAGTAACCAAATAGGATAGAGTAGAATTGTCCCATAGGATTTCCTCAGTTAAAATCTGTATAGAAACAGATAAATGGGTCTTTTCTCCAGTAGAGCAGCTCTTGAGTTTGAACCACTAACTTTTCATTTTACAGCTGAATGCTTAATCATTGCACCATAAGAACTCAAGAACATAGCCTGTAAGATATGAGCAATGGGCATCCCAAAAATGATTAATTGGCCTACAAACTGATCAGCTTTTTCATTAGAGTTTGCAAGTAACATGCCTACAGGGCTAGACAGATAATGTAAATTGAGCTTCAGATAAGATGATAAATAACAAATGAAATTCAGCAACAGAGTTGATAAACTAAAGAGAAAGGTGGGAGCTGCAGTGAACTAGAGAAAACCTATTTAATGTAAAAGAGGCCATAGTTAATATAAGAGAATGACATATGTTCTTTTTCAAGAAAAGTCATAAATCGGGATCATTCTTATAAAATCTTATGCTTTTAAATATGGACAACTAAATTAAATTTTAAAAATTGGATAAATATGCAAAAAGGCACTGTCTATACCAATCAGATCAGGATGAGTGGAGTTGCCAGGATACAAACTGTGCTCAACACAACAGTGGATAGTGCTTGGAGAGGGGGCAGATATCACACAGGCTTTATCTAATTTATTTTCATCCCACTATCATCTGAAAGTTTTCTGGGATAAATGTGTATCTATGAACAAACCAACCGCATCCCTAGTTCTCTAACTCTAGACATGTATATACCATGTTGCTGTTGTTGTAAAGTGCTGTCGAGTCTGTTCAGACCCATAGCGACCCTGTATAGTGTTTCCAAGGAGCAGCTGGTGAGCCTGAACTACCGACCTTGTATTTGAAATGGCTTTGCAGTCTGGTGCATTAACCCACAGCGCTACACCAGGACCACTTAATTTTAAAAATCTGACTGGAAACCCAACCTAAGATCATGTTGTAGAAGTGTTTTAAGGAGCTGTGGTAGAGTAATGGTTACGAATTGGGCTGCTAACCTCAAGGTCGGCAGTTCAAAACTACCAGCAGTTCCGTGGGAGAAAGATGAGGCATTCTGCTCCTGTAAAGATTTACAGCCTGGGAAACCCTGTGCAGGGTCACTATGAGTCGGAATCGACTCCACAGTACTTAACAACAGCAACAACGTAGTTCTTTTAAAAATTAAAACTTCTTTCATAAAACAATGGAAACTTTTACATATTAAATATTTGAATCAGACTGTAGACAATTATCAACACTCATGGAAGCAATAGTCAAGTAACCAAACAACATATTGCATTGGACAAATCTGCTGCCAAAGAGCTCTTAAAGTATTAAAAGCAAAGATGTTACTTTGAGGACTAAGGTGTGTGTGACCCAAGTCAAACGTATTTTCAATGGCTTCATATGCATGTGAAATCAGGACTGGCAGAAGAATAAACCTGTCTTGGAAGAAGTACAGTTAGATTTGTCCTTAGAAGTGAGGATAGCAAGACATACTTTGGACATGTTTTCAGGCAGTATTAGTCCCTGGAAAAGCACATATGCTTGGTAAAGTAGAGAGTCAATGAAAAAGAGGAAGACCCTCAGTTAAAAAGAGGAAGACCCTCAGTTAACACAGTGAATGCAACAATGGGCTCAAACATAGCAACAATTGTGGGGATGCCACAGGGCTGGGCAGTGTTTCCTTCTGTTGTATGTAGGGTCACTAGGTGTTGGCACCAACTCAATGGCACTTAATAACAACAACAACATGTGTAACTGGAAAATTAAGTCATGTTGAGATATTAAAATATATTACTGCTTTTTTTCCTGTTTTATTATTATTATTATTATTATCTTTTCCTTATTTTTTATAATTACTAGACTAGAACTGGAGTCCTGGTGTGGTGCTGTGTGTTTGAACTGCAAAGCTGTTTTAATTGCAAGGTCAGTGATTCAAACTCACCAGTTGCTCCTCAGAAACCCTATACAGGGTTGATATGGATCAGAACCGACTCGACAGCACTTAACAACAACACAACAAGACTAGAGTTGGAGTTCTGATGTGGTGCAGTAGGATAAGCACTGGACTTCTAATCACAAGGTTGGCAGTTCAAATTCATTAATTGTCCTCAGAAACCCTATACAGGGTCACTATGAGTTAAGAATTGACTAGATGGCACTTAACAAGACTGGTATTAATTTGACTAAAAAATCAAATGTTTCCATTTGGAGCAGGAATACAGAGATGCAAGTTTGTATATCTATGAACAAATCAACAACTTAACAACAGCAACATTTAGTTCCTACAACAAATGATCTTTCCATTAAAAGCTATCTCTTCTTAGGCACCATGAGAAGGACATTCACTGCTTCTCTGTTCAGGAATCTTCTCATTTATTTGCTTCTCTCCTGTCCTCTTCCATCCTATTTCACTCTTCTCTCTTCCTCTCCATTTTTTCTTTCTCTTTCACACCCATATTAAAGACAGTTGGTAAAAATTAATGCATTAAAAGAAAAGCTTTTAAGCATAAGAGACTAAAAATCCAGTTGTCGCCGATTTTGCCAATCCTTTAATTTTGAAAACGGCCCCAACTCTGGTAGATCTTTACCTATCTTTAAAAAGAAAAGAAGGCACTAAATGATTTTCATGCTAGGTTTTTGGGACTGAAGTTTTTCAAAGAACATGAGAGACTTTACAAAACTTAATGAAAATATCAAAATTATAAAAATAAATAATTTTACAAAGCATATTTTTAATTAAAATAAAATTTAGCTAAAGACTATGTTTGGTGGACACAGGCTCTATGATGCATGCACCTAGACTGGTCTTATTTCTTGTTCAACACCATGTCAGGGATTTGTTGCACTCTGGAAATCACCCACTTAAAGATATTTTGTTTCTTTATTTGTTTCTCAATTTGTTATTCAAAACTCAACTTGATCTTAGGAGAGTCCTTGTGGCCATGTAGCAATGTCAGAATTGCATCAGCTTCAACTTCCAGAAGCAGCCTTCTCATTTTCTAGTCAGAATGTCACAATGCCTCGCCTACCAAAACCTACCTACACATCATTTGAGTATCCATTCAACAGCTATTTTTCCTGACAAAGTCTAGCATTTGGCTTATTTACATAGAACAAATGACTGATAAAGCTTTTGAGTGTTATCTTAAAGCACATGTATTGTCCAGCCAAACATGGGCTTCCTACACCCATTTAAAAGAAATTTGTTTGCCATCCTCTTTTATGTTCTGAAAGATGTATAAAATGCTTTTAACACAGGATAATATCATCAGAGTGAGTTCACAAAGACAGGAACAGCAGACTATGCCTCCGAACACTAAGAAAAGAGTTTGTTCTTAAAGGATGAGTTGGCACCTGAACCTAGAGAACAGAACTAAGTTAGGGGACGAGACAGAAATTATGGCTTCAATATTAACTTCATACCAAAGTGTTTGGAACAGTTCTTCTTGAAACTGATCAGAAATATTTTGTCTCCAAAGAAAAAATAACAGTAATGTGAGAATATGAATATTTCTTTTCTTCAGTGCCTCCACTTGCAATTAACTTCATGGCCAGGTATAAATCAGAGCTTAGCTTCATGAAAGATTGCAGTGAGAAGCATCAGGACTGAAGTGAGCTAGTCTAAATTAAAAACTAAACTCTACCACTGTTATCTTGTGTGAGTCCAGATAATCTATACAAATTTTCTGCGCCTGTTTTCTCATTGCTAAAATGGAAAAAAGAAGAGTTTTTCCCTCATGGGGCAATTGTGATGGTTCAATCATCCATTTAAAGACCTTAGAAAAGGGTTCTAGACACACAGGTAAAACTCTGCAAATATTTGCTATGATTGCTTTGACAGAAGTGGACCAGATATTGAGTTGCTATTGCTAGGTTGTATTGAGCTGGGTCAGATTCGTATTGACCCTATACACAATAAAAGGAAGCACTGGCCGGTCCTGTGTCATCCCCACAGTTGCTGTAATGCTTGAGTCCACTGCTGGAGGTCTTCCTCTGTTTCGCTGACCCTCTACTTTACCAAACATGATGTCCTTTTCCAGGTAGTAGCCCATCCTGATAGCATATCCAAAGTAAAAGAGCATTCTGACTGTATTTCTATGAATACATATTTTTTGTTTTAAAACTTTGTTTTTCACCAGTGCCTTCAGTGCTCCTTGGACTTCTTCCATTAGTTCTCGATCATATGCTACCTCTTTAAATGGCTGAACATTAACCATTTCTTTTTGGTACAGTGACTCTGTGTATACCTTCCATGTTCTTTTGATGTTTTCTGCATCTTTCAATATTGTGCGCCTAGAATCCTTCAACACTGGAAATCGAGGCTTAAATATTTTCCTGTTTCCTCCATTTGGAAAATGCTGAATGTGTTCTTTTCTTTTGATTTTCTACCTCCTGGCCTTTGCACATTTCGTTGTTATACCTGATTTTGTCTTCTCGAGCTGTCCTTTGACATTTTCTGTTCAGTTCTTTTATTTTCCCCTTTATTCCATTCACTGTAGCATCTCTACTCTGGATAGCAGGTTTCAGAGTCTCTTCTGACATCCATTTTGTTCTTTTCTTTCTTTCCTGACTTTTTCATGACCTTTTGTTTTCTTCCTGTATGATACTGAAGTCATCCCACAACTATTCTGGTCTTTGGTCATTAGTCTCTAATGTATAAAATCTGTTCCTGAGATGGTCTCTAAATTGAGGTAGAATATGTTCAAGTCATGGCTCTCATATGCTTGTGTTAATTTTCTTCAGCTTCAGTCTGAACTTCCATATGAGCAGTTGGTGGTTTGTTCAAAGACAGTTTGTCTCTGGTCTTGTTTAGGCTTATGCCATTGAGCTTTTCTACCACTTAACAACAACTTCTGACAGATGTAGTCGGTTTGTTTCCTATGTATTCCATCTAATAAGATCCATGTTGTTTACAAAGGTATTTGCAATGAATAAGTCATTGTTGTTGTTAAGTACTGTGGAGTCAGTTCAGACACACTGCATGGATTTCCGAGGCTACAAATCTTTACGGGAGCAAAAAGCCTCATCTTTCTCTCACGGAACAACTGGTAGTTTCGAACTACTGACCTTGAGGTTAGCAGCCCAATTCAAAAACCACTACGCGACCAGAGCGCCTTAGTCTTATAAAATTCTATCAGGTGATCTCCAGCATAATTTCTATCAACAAGGCCACATTTTCCAACTATTGATTTTCCTCTTTGTTACCATTCTTTGCATTCGAATCACTAGTAATTAGCAATACATCTTGATTGCATGCTTGATCAATTTCAGATTGAAGAAGTTGGCGTTAGAAGTTGGTACATAAATTTGAATAATAGTGTATTAACTAGTCTTCCTTGTAAGTATATGGCTATTATCCTATCACAGACAGCCTTGTACTTCAAGTTTGATCTTGAAATATTCTTTTTGATGATGAATGCTATACCATTCCTCTTGAATTTTTCATTCCCAGCATAGTAAGCCATACGACTATTAGTTTCAAAATTATTAATACTAGTCCATTTAAGTTCACTCTTATTGTTGTTAAGTGCCAGTGAATTAGTTATGGTTCATAACGACTCTGTATAGGGTTTCTGAGGAATGACTGGTGGTTTTGAACACTCAACCTTGTGATTAGCAGTCCAATGTTTATCCTACAGCACCACATCATGACCCTTTCAGTTTGCTAATGACTCAGATATTGATTTTTATGCATTCCACTTTCATTTTTTACAATTTCCCATTTTCATACTTCCTACATTTCATGTTCTGATTATTAATGGATGTTTATAGCTGTTTCTCATTTTGAGTTGTTTCCTATCAGCAAATGAAGGTCCTAAAAGCTTGACTCCATTCATGTCACCATGGTCAACTCTACTTTGAGGAAGCAGCTCTTTCCTAGTCATATTTTGAGTGCCTTCTAACCAAAGAGGCTTTTCTTCTGGCACAGTATCTGACAATGTTCCACTATGATCCATAAGGTTTTGAGTGGCTAAACGTTCAGAAGTAGTCCACCTCTCCTTCTTCCTAGTTTGTGGTAGTCTGCTAGATCCACTGAACCCTGTCCACACGGGTTTCTCTTGTATTTAAAATACCAGTGGCATAGCTTCCAGAGTTCCACACA